GCTCAGGGGCGTTTTTGTGTATTTTCGCCTAAATTTGACATACTTAAATTCAAATGTTTACCCTACACACATACAATGGAGGAAATGAAAAAAAAAAAAGGTGTCATCATTGAATAGAAAACCCTTTGAACTACAAAATATGATTGTAATTCTTCATAAATAACATTATATAGGTTTTAAATATTACAATAAACACTAAAAAAACAGGCGCTTTTTGATTTTTTTTTTTCAGAATTGTTTTTTTGAAAGTCTGTTATTCAGGTTCTATTTGCTCCAGCTCTCTGCAACTTATATTGTTTGATTCCACTATAGGTGCCAAGATGTACCAGAAAAAAGAATCTTTCAAATAACAGATTCTAAACAGGAGTTATTGAATTATAACCGGAGTAAAATTGTCCCTTTTTTTGCATCTAAACGTGTCCTTGCGGGTTTTGTAGCAAATTAGCTCAAGAAAGAAAATATTTATAATTAATTATAACTGGTTATAATTAATAATAAATATTTAGATTAGATCTTAGAATTAACTGTAGCAGAATCAATATTATATTTACAATTATTTGAATATTACAATTATTTGATCCACCGAACAGACAATATAATCATTTATCAATTCTAGGAAAGATTATTTACCTGGCCAAGGAAGAATAGCTTTCCTACTTTATGCAGTACTAGCAGTAATTTAGCATGTACCAAGGATCAACATTCAGTGACTCCGAATTGTGAGCAGCACACAGAGACAATCAGTTGTGAATATAAGGGATTTAATAAATGAAACTATAACTAACATACAACTAAATTAAGCAAATCACATATATACAGAATGAAGGAAAGTAAGGAAGAGAGAGAGAAGACCAAAAGAATGGCAGTATTTCACATCAATTAACCACAACCTAATGAGAATCATCTGAGAATCAAAAATCACCTTAAAAAGGGGCTCAAACTTAAACACGCATCTAAATAGTTGTAAACGGTTACTTGCATTGGCTTTGTTGCTGAACAAGAGTCTTGATGCGGTAGGCACGGAGGTTCTTGATGAGTTCTTTAGGAGTGAGCTGGAGGTTTTCCTCTGGTTCTTCTGAAGATAGGAAAGTCCACAGGGAATCGACAAAGTTACTTGAAGATAAAAAAACGCCGGAAAATCAAACTCAAGAGGAGAGTTTTGAGGAGTCTTGGAGAGTGTCCGTCTCAAGAAGAAGGGTTTTGAGCAAAGATTAGTCTGAGTTAATGACTTTTAGTAGTTCCTAGTCACGCCCACCTTTTGGGTGGAATGGCCAATACCAGGCGTGAATTTTTGAGCGGGAGAAGTTTTCTTTGTCTCCATTTATGGCCCATTTGCATGTTTATGGCTGGTCTGGAGGACTGGTGCAGTTTTACCCAAAATATAGTACAACTAGTATGATGCATATCACGATCACATAGTGTACATCATTGTTTGAGGAATAAAGAGCAGATCATTTTGATACCAAGAAATAAACATCTAGAAGATATTAAACCAGAGATA